TTTATGATTCTGTGCTTGTGGCCAGTTCTGAGCTGGAGACCACATTTACCAACTGTGTTAAGTCAATCTGGGTTGCATTTTTTTGTTGAAGCATATGCTAATCTATGAACTACAGCCTGCAGATAATATTACCCTGTATTATGGTGACAGAGTGTTTGTTGTGTTTTAGTCTAGGCACACTGTTACACATTTAGCAGAGTGAGGGAGGTTGGTGGAACTCGTGATTAAGTTATGTTTTCTTCAGAGTTGTGAGGTTCTTTTCTCCTTTGGAAGTGTGTCAATCGTTATAGCCATTCTTACTGCTAGGAACTATAAGGAGGCTTGTTTGTGAGATTTTGATGGCAGAACAAGCGATCCAAGAATAAGTAAATCCTGCTACCAGCCCAAACCACCTATTGCTCACAGTTTTCTAGGTCAGATACACGTGAAAGATAACTGCCAGATGCCTAGGCAAGCTGGGTATGGCCTGGATCAGGCCTGAAGAAAATCTATCCCTTATTCCCAAGACAAAACCCATCAACTGTGTAACAAGAAAAGTGGCCAGATTATACAGGAGCAGGTTCTGAGGAAGCATTTGCTTCAACCTCATGGGTTTGTGAAGAAAGAAGATTCCCAGAACCATGGACATCTCCCTTTAGAACACAATGACTCTGCCTTTTGGCAAGCGTGGTTCCATTTGTGTTCTAGAATCCTGGAGAAGCCAGGGAGTGAGGCTGGGGTGGGGAAGGGGCCTTCTAATCCCATCGGTACATTCCAGTCGTATTTCAGCCATTGTGCAATGTGTTATAATTTGTACCTTTATTTGCATTATCCTTTTAATTGTCACCATCTGAGTTATATTATTATTGTCATCACTTTACTGATGAAGAAACAATGGGTCAAAGAGGATATAAGACTTGTCCATAAATTATCCAGTTTGTAAGTGGTCCTCCAAATGCAAAAGTCCTTATTATACCATGACTGCCCAATATTTTAACGGAGATAGATTGCTTCTGTGAATCCAATTTTATTTTCCTTTCAATAAAGTAACAGTACAGTACTTCATTTAAAATCACCAAGGAGGACTTGGCACCCTATGTAAGAGCAAGTGCAAGTTTTATAATTTTGAAAATATTTTCAGACTGGGCGCAGTGGCTCATGCCTGTAATCCTAGCACTTTGGGAGGCCAAGGCAGATGGTTTAGGAATTCAGGAGATTGAGACCATCCTGGCTAACATGGTGAAACCCCAGCTGTAAGAAAAATACAAAAAATTAGCCAGGCATGGTGGCACGCGCCTGTAGTCTCAGCTACTTGAGGGGCTGAGTTAGAGAATCTCTTGAACCTGAAAGGTGGAGATGGCAGTGAGCCCAGATCGTGCCACTGTACTCCAGCCTAGACAGCAGAGTGAGATTTCATCTAAAAAAAAAAATTTTCATTACTTATTTTTTGAGGATATTTAGTAGAAGACATGAAAACTGTGTAAAATAAATATATATGGTTTCTAAAGCCTGTTGATTACTATTTCTGTAATTCGTGACCCCTCAAATTCCATTAATCATTCTAAGACTGCATTGAGCTTCCGTCATCCTGAGTCTGGCTTCAGGAACCTTTGATAAAACATTTCAGCATTCACATGTGACAAAGCCAAACAGATAAACAAATGTGCCGTACCCACAGAGAATAAAGAATCATTGATTTATCAGTATGGCTTGGACAACTTTGGATGAAAATACTTTCAGAGTTTCAATTAACCTCCAGAACACTTGCCTTGGGAGGATAGATAGATAGTACATTTCAGACATTCTTTATAATCTATTTTGAAATGTCTTTTATTATTTAACTGCTACATTTTGCCCCTTCATATATGTGTTCTGTCACTAGAAATATGTGATATAATAAATGAAAAATCCGAGTGGAACAACGTAAGAAATGAAAGACGATTTTTTAAACAAGTATTCAGATTTTAATAATAGAGGATTATTTTTTTAAGTGCCTTTATTTTCCTAGGATAAGTGATGTTAGCATTGGAAAAACTTAGCTAATGAAAGTATATTATGGAATTTTAAAACTTTATTTAAAAGTTGCTTGTTTATTTTTATCTTCTGTTCAGAATGTTAGCTGCATCAGACCTGTGCTGCATTTTTTTCTTAGTTGGTGTTATTAAACTAATTCCTCAGAGAGCTTCTTTTTTAAAATTTGAGTTGTAACTTACTTTTAAATTTTATTAGAATTAATTCTGGATAATTTTTATCCTAGCTGCTTATTGTATTATAAATGCTTTCTTATTTTGTTTTTCTGTTAACCAATTGTGAATATTATGTCTCAGTTTATGGAACCATCGAAATCTGTCGTTTAGTAGCAGTGGTAAAACGTCCTCCCTCCCTTCCTCCTTCCTCCTCCTCCTCCTTTCCTCCTTCTTTCTTTCTTTTTCTTTCTCTCTCTCTTTTCTTTCTTTTTCTTAGTTTAATTACACTTACCTTGATTTTTAAAATCTTTGTTTTACTAGTGATTCTTTAATTAAAAATAAAAGTAAGAAGCTGACTAAAAAGTTCACTTGTCTATAAAAATATTATGTACAATATTAAGCTTTTTTTTGGGGAGAAGAGTAGCTTTATGTTCTTTAGCTGAATAATTCTAATTTAATTATAATGCCTTCGAGAGATTTTTATAAAACTTACATGAGCTGAAATTTCAGCTTTGACAGGAACAGTAGCTTTTCAATGCCAGCTTGCAGGTATGCTTTGAGGCTTCCTGTTTTAGTCTAGATATAAGATTATGGAATTAAGAGTCTATCATTTTATTCTGATATATTTTTACTTATTTTATTATAATGACAAATTTTTTTTATAAATTAAATAAAAATGAAGGATTCAGATTTCTTAATGCTTGGGCAATCTTTGATCTGCCTTATCTGCTTTCATTTCTTAGTTTCTAGAGTTCTAGTTGCTTAGGCTGGTGTTACAGAAGGTGGGCTTGAGTTACCCTGTAATTTCCAGTTGTAGTGTGGTGCTGCTATTGAATCCTGTGCATCATTACTGGATTTTGCTGACAAACTAGGCCTTTAGGTTGTAAATTGTATTGATTGATATCTTCAGGTGTAGATTTTCCGTGAAGATAATGAATCTGAACCTTCAGGGGCCCTCATTTGAGTGGATGCCTTTTGAGGGTCTGTTCCTAATCTTGTTTTGTAATTTTGTATTATTTTTCTTAAGGAGGGCTCCACAGATTTTATAAGCTTCAGCCTCCACCACACTTTAGATCTGCCTGTGGTCAATATGTAAACTCTTTGAAAACTGAAAGAAAAGCATAACAAATATGTACATTTGACTTTTCAAAATCTTAGTTAAGGTATTTAGTAATGACACACTTTCTTTCCTGATGAATGGTCTGGGCAATCATACTAATCAGTAGAACTGCGTATCTAAAACCAGATGCACAACTGATGCTTTTGAAAGCATTGAGAATGGAATTTTAGAGACAGATAGTTTTTGAGTCAGCTCTGCTATGTAGATGATCAGACTTGCCAAGGTGCTCTTAGAAAAATAGAGAATGTCAAACAGTAGAAAGGTTTTGTGAAATGTAGACATTCACTCCTTAATCTGTGTTTCGTATGTTCCTCTAACCACTGTAATATTGTACAATTCCCTCAAGATGCCAGTTTTACTCTCTTCCCATTAGCTACACTTGTACCTGTCTTAAGAAAATCCTCTGAAATGATGAGAATGTCAGTGCATTATATGTATAATATGCAATCTTCACTTTTTATGATGGTATGGGAACATAACAAGGTCCATGCAAGCTGAAAGCACATAATATAATCTTAATACTCAATAAAAAAACTATGATTGTTTTAGCATCTTTGAAAAAGTTTGTCAAAACATTAAAAACTATCTTACTGTTGGTTATATTGATAACCAACAGGGAGATGAATATAATAGTAAAACTCATATTTATTTAGTACACTGTGATTTTGAACATTGGAAACACTGAGAATGGAGGAAGTATTTTGTTTCTTTTTTAAAAAACTTACATGAGTCATTTAAACAATACTTGCCTTCTGAGAATATAATTTTCTGTATAAAGAGAGTATCTTTTGTATCTCTTGGAAAATTGTCACCCTCCTTTCCAAGTTAGAATTAATTTCATCTTATTTTATTTTACTATTTTTACTAAATATTACATATTTTATTCTTCCACTTTCACTATTGTGAACAATGTACTAGAGCTCCTTTAATGAGGGTTTTCTTTGGTTTGTTTTTAAACCGGTGTCACCTTCTCTGGGAAACCTTCATGCTTTTTGTCACAACCACTTTCCTCATTTATATTGATAAGTTCACCTTCACTAAGTCCTTTTGGCTGCCTATCTAGGGTCTCCCAAATAGCAGCAGTATCTACATTTCCAAGGTCACTTATTTCTCTTATAACTTCCTTTATGTTCAGTTTGAATTCCACTTCTAACATTCTCATTTTTCATTTCTTAGGTGGATTTTAATTTTTGTTGGATAATTACTGCTTTTGATTATTCATTTTTGTAAAACGTCATGTGGGTTTATCACTGAGAGACAAGGCAATATGATGACATGCTTTTCTGTCTGTGCATGAACTGAATAACAGCTGTGCTGTTACCAATACTGACAGGCTTTGAAAGCAGTGATGTGATCAGTTAGTGGTTGTGAACGTGCATCTGTTATTTTTTTAGTGATCTGTAGACCGAAGATCAAGCAGCAAAGCTTGCACTTTGTGAAATTGCTCACAGTTAAATACTTTGGTAACTGAAATTTGAACTATGTTATGGAACTGGTGTTATTCAGCTAAACCACTGTAACTGAAATCTGTGCATACGGGAACTGCGTAAAGCAAGAACTGCCTCTCATGATTTGACTATTTTAGTTCATTATAGAGGAGCAACATTATATTTTGTAACCACACTTGACTATTTAATAAAAGACAACTATGTAATTTTTATAGCATTTGAAAGGCAACATGAAAGTGAAATGGATTGTTTGTTTTTTGCCCCCAGTTTTATGTATGGGGAATTGACTGACAAGAAGACCATTGAGAAAGTCAGGCAGACTTTTGACAACTACGAGTCAAACTGCTTTGAAGTTCTTCTGTACAAGAAAAATAGTAGGTATCTCAATTATTAATAAGATGTGCCAACTCTTTATTAATATTATGTTTGGTAAGTCGTAGTGGAGCTAAAATGTAGAGAGCATGTAAAACTTCTATTGCTCCTTTTCTTGGCAGGGGCAGAGGTTACTGGTGAAATTAGATAATAACATTAATAAATTATTCTACCTATGAAAAGCAACTTTTTGAGGGATGGAAGAAAAATATGATGCAGCTTAAATATGTCTTTGTTTCAGGTAGCAAAATATTTTATAATAGATACTTACAATAAAAACCCTATAATTCTGTGACAACAACTAATAATGATAGATAAATGTATTAATTTCTTTTTATGGTTAAAGAAAATGGTAATTGCTAACATTGGATATGTGCAATTACCTTTCTACATAAACATAGGCAATGTGAATATGTGGTAGCTACTTAAGGGGAATCTCTACCAGTATGGCCTTTTGCCAGCCTCAGACTCTTTTGTGAGAAGGTCTGGTAGAAGTAGCCATTGTTCTCAGAACAGGTCATTCACATTTGGTAGATTGTATTGATTGTAGTGAACTTTTTCTTAGATGAGATTTGTATGTGATAACGTATGCATTATATAATGACATAATATCTTATGATACAGACTTTCCATCAGAGTTTGGAAGGAAAAAGCCAACCCAACAAAAACCAAGTGTAATCAGCAACTCAGTCCCCTTTCTAATTCACTTTAATTGCATGGTTACTTACTTTTATTTTTTTGCTGTTTCCTCAAATTGTTCTTTTTTATTTTTGAAATGAACAGTCACTTCATAAGTGGGTCAATTATTTATCATTAATAGCAAGTGATAGCAAAGTCCATTATTATCTTTGATGGAAAGTGGTGGCTACTAAATTCTTCCCAAGTTTGGAAAACATTCTAGCTTCAACAGGAAATGTCGGTTCCGTGTTCAGTGCCTGTTGGATCTTATGGAGCATAATTTATCTCTCCATTTACTTGAGACATTTTTTTCTCTGTGGAATATTTGGAATTAAAATTCGATTTCTCTTTTTAACCTTTCTCTTCTAACAAAGGAATAAAAGTGTTAGGCATTGCCTCAAAGTAGTGCACTTGATAATGGAAACATTTGTTTTTAGTGGTTTTAATTAAGAAATGTCTTATTTTTCATTTTACGTCAAGGCCAAAGAGATATTTCAGTTTGAAGTCATAGCTAAATGTCCACTGGCTTGTCACCTAGAAAACGATCCCTTGTGAATGATCAACTCTGTCCTCTGCAAGAGAAAAGGCAGGCTGTATGTGCTTCTGGGTCTTTTTCACCAGGTCTAAATACCTATTGATAATTTGTAGGGGACCTGTATACTAAAAACCCTTCATTTTCATATAGTTTGTTAACCCTTCAATACTTTAGATATGTGCTCAAGTTTAGCAAATGATGTAAGCATATTCCATATTACTAAGGTCATTCACTCCCTGATATTTAAGCAGAATAAACAAACACCGGCCTGACTTTACAGCCTCAAAGACAAGTCTGTAGTTTCTGAGTTTCTCGAAAACTATCTTAGACTAGGTGACATAGCAAGACCCTTCTTCTACACCACCCCCCCAAAAAATAGCTGGTGTGGTGGCACATGCCCATGGTCCCAGCTACTCAGGAGGTTGAGGCAGGTGGATTGCTTGAACCCAGGGGTTCGAGGCTGCAGTGAGCTATGATCATGTCACTGTATTCCAGCCTGGGTTACAGAGCAAGACCCTGTAATGACAACCACCACAACAAAATATCTTAGTGGAATTTCTGTTTATTTACTTTAAATCATGTTTATAGTTACCTAAATTTTACATTTCTGGAAGTCCTTCCAAGATAGTTTAGATATTTGGCTTTATGTTAATGTATTGAAATTATTATCTGACCATTGTTCAGGGCTATCTGGTTCTTTCCAGATAAGTCTCTGTGTAGGTAAGTGCCTGCTTATAGCCAATAGGATATATACCGCATAGTGTTGTAGATTAAAACTCGTGCCTCCTTTCTGTGTACTATCTACATTGGGTTTTGTTTTTGTTTTCCTCTTTAGTAAAGGATAGGTGTTATCCATGTGTTATAATGGAGTTCTGCTATTTAAATTCAGCTTTTAAAAAGTCTTATAAGTAGCTGAAAGTTTTTGAACATGATCTGAAAAAATTACATTTTTTGGTTAAAAAAAATGTTAGGTAGAAAAATTCACAACTGTAGACATGAGTATCTGTCAAGTATTTGGTGATAGATCCTTCTATCTGGTCCCAGTACTGCTTTGGGGAATGCCTACATGCCAAGTCCTCCCAATACTTTTGTTTAGTAATTAGATTAAACACCATTTTGCACACGGGGGAATTGAGGCATCTGATTGAATATACATCACCATTGAAATTTCAGTTTGCAGCCTCTGCTCTGTAGGTCCAGTGCTCTGATTAGCAGGGGGCTGTTTCTACTGTGGGGAAAGAAATGGTAGCTCTGGGATGATGACTTAAAATAGTTCTTTCTGTGTACTCAAAGGTAGAACTGACAGCTGAAGCATCTCCAAATCATCAATGCTGGAGCATTGCACTGAGTTTCAGCAGCAGCAGGTTCCTCTGCTTAACACTCCCAGACTCCCAAGCCCTCGAACCCCAAATCCAGAATATGAAGGATCTATCACCAGATACTTGGCAATACTCAGCCTACTTGGGGAAGTCTGACCCGGTGGCTTGGAAAGTTGAAGAACAGTTACCATCATATTTAAAGCAGTTTTACAGAGAGCCCAGACTCTATGCCAGAATTTGAAAAGTTGCAGTTTTCACAGGAAGGCATGAAATTTAATATCATCTGTTTCTGTTCATATTTCTAACAGACCTTGGAAAATGACTTATTTTTTAATGCCCTTTTCTCTTAGTTTATGACCCTTGTGCCTCAAGCTCGATGTATTGAAACAGCCATAGGTCATGTATCCGCTAACATCTGGGTCTGGTGATTTGTAAAACTGTGCACATCACTCACAGTTCCTGGACATGCTGTGTAAAATAGGAAAACAGAGAAAAATGGACAAGCCTCTTTGGGAGATGATATGATTATTTTTGAGGTCCCTATCTCATTCTACCATCATTTTGGAAAGGGCCACGTTCTTCCATAGGCCCCCTGGGGTTGCAAAAAACCTGATTGTCACAACTGAATATTCCCATAGAAATCTCCTCTCTCTAATTCTCTGAGTACTTGAGCCTAGTAGTTATCTCATCTTGTCTAAATGAAAAATTCTCCTTTGTGGTGATATTAGGTGACTTTTTTAAAAAATTTTTTTAGGCTGTGGGAATAGAAGTGGTTCTTTTTCTGTTCTCATTGGAAGCCACTAAAAGGCTATCAGCTCTTACCTACAGACTATTAATAGCTGTACATTTCACTCCCCAAATTCTAAACCTTACAAAAACCTTTATGTCTTAAAATAGAATATTTGGAGGGGCTTTACTGCACTGTAGCTTGAAGAAAATCTGAGAAATGTGTTTCTGATTATAATGTAAATGTGTCTCTTTGACTGTAATGGAACCTTCCGTCAGTGTTTATCACTAATAGATAATTACACCTTTGAGGGCATTTTTTTGTACCTTCACGTATTTCTTGTTATGTACCAGTTCCTGACTTGTTCAAATTATAAGCCTTGAATGCTTTGAATCCCTCTGTCCTAGAGGACAGAGTCTGCAGTAGCCATCCTTTAAAGAACGTGTGATAGAGTCCAGCTTCATGCTCTTGGAGTGAGGGAGGTAGGAAGCAGTGGCTTGAAAAGATGCCTGGAGATCTCAAAGGCTGGGGACATACCTTTTTTTTTTTCCTTCAGGTTTCAGGTAGAGCTCTGTGTACCTCAGGCATCAAGTTTTGCTGACATCCTTTTTCTCTGGGTTGGCGATGCAGTCAAAACTGTAGAGCTATCATATAAGTCTATCTGACTGATAAGAGAGCCTTGGGATAGAAACAGTATTTTAGATGTTCCTCCAAGAGGAATGCTTATTAGAGGATCAGGTATGGCAGTTGCATTTAATTGGAAACACTTGTCAAAGTGACAAGAAGAGAGAAGCCGAAGCAGGTAGGAGTGATCACAGTTGGTAAGAATCTCAAAAGAAAGGTGGTGAGAGCAGCAGTGGTTGAGGGACGTAGACCTACAGATGATGCTGGCATGGCTGAAGCAGTAAGACTGCCTTTGTGTGCCTGCATCTTGAAATGACAGCCTGTGCTTTACTTTAGAATTTTGATATTTTGGGTTGAATACTGTGTTTGTTAAATGTGAACAACTGGTAGTTGATATAAAATTAAATGCTTATTGATTGTTTGTAGTAATTGATATACTATTGTTTTGGTGTTGATTCCTGGCATAGCCGTTGGCAGCTAAAGGAAGAAGGCAGGCAGGAGACCAAACCACTGCTGTGGCCATGTCACACTTTAATGTCCTTTCCCCTCCCCCTCTGTGTTACAGGAACCCCTGTTTGGTTTTATATGCAAATTGCACCAATAAGAAATGAACACGAAAAGGTGGTCTTGTTCCTGTGTACTTTCAAGGATATTACATTGTTCAAACAGCCGATAGAGGATGATTCAACAAAAGGTAATTTTTGAAAGAATTACTACACTGAAAAATTAGGCCGTTGCTAAAAGATCTTATTATTTTACCTCCTCTGGTTGAACTGGAAAACAAAATTCTGCTATGTGGTCCTTCTTTTGCTACATTGCTTGGAATCTGTTTTATTCTATTGTATTGTTGGAATAGAAATAGCATGGCTCTGCAGAGTTGCAATATTGATTGGCTAACTTGTAGTGTAAGGAATTTTATAGGGCATTTTTTTGTTGTTGTTTTTTAGTTAAGGTCTCACTCTGTTGCTTGGGCTGGAGTGCAGTGGTACCATCTCAGCTCACTGTAATTTCCTTCTCCCAGGCTCAAGTGATCCCCCCCACTTCAGCCTCCTGAGTAGCTGGGACTATAGGAGTGTGCCACCATATCTAGCTAATTGTTATAGAGTCAGGGTTTCACCATGTTGCTTAGGCTGGTTTCGAACTCCTGGGCTCAAGTTATCTGCCCACCTTGGCCTCCCAAAGTGCTGGGATTACAGGTATGAGCCATGGTGCCCAGCTGGGCATTGTTAATTTTGAATCAATATAATTGGAATTTCAACACCTCATACCATGGTGAGCTTTAGAACCAAAATGTAACAATTGGTGGGATGGTTTGGGTGAAATCTAACTAGAGCTCAGTTGGTTAGTTGATTGAAGTTTGTTGAATTAATTAAAGTTGTAATAGTTGACATTTTCAAGTTACTTTTTGGTTTTTATTTATTCTGTTGTGTAGTCCCTAGGGTAAATATTGCTAGATTATGGAAAGAATAATTTTGTCATCAGGAGAGAGGCTGGCAAAATGCAAACCTGACTGTAGTCTTATTGACTATCACAGTCAAAGAGACTTCTGTAGAAACCACTGGTCAGTGGCGTGTGGTTTTACCTCCTTTTCTATGTAATTTATTCTGCAATTATTCTCTCCAATTATGTTTAAATTAGAAACTGGCATCATAGAAGAGAATTTCGAGTAGCCTTAGAGGTAGTTTTTATGAAATGTTATTTTTAATAATCTCTTAGAAAACTAAAAATAAAATGTCTTCCTCTTTGCATTTGGCAAACATTGCCTTTCCTTCTTTTTTAAAAACTGGCATAGAAGCTTTAATATTTTCAAGTGTAATCATAATTATAGAAAAAAAATCACAGTAAGTTTATTCCTTGTATAGGAACTCACATATATAATATTGCATCTGCTCAGTTTCTGGTTAACATCAAATTACAAGAGGAGAATTTTTACAGTTTGCAAACTATTCAAAGTATGACATAGAAAAATTTATTTTTCTATGTCATAGAAACCTCACATGGAGTGGAGCATTCACTAGATAGATCACATTCTGGGTCATAAAACCTACCTTAATACATTTTAAATATATATAAATCTTAGAAAGTATATTCTCAGACTAAAGTGAAATTAAACTAGAAAAAACAGTAACAGAAAGATATCTGGAAGATCCCAAAATATTTGGAAGTTAAACATGTTTCTAAATAACTCACAAATCAAAGAAGTAGCCTTAAGATGAGTTAGAAAAATATTTTTAGCTAAAGAAAAAATGAAAATACTATTTATCAAATTTGTGAGATGCTGCAAAAGCAGTGCTTAGAGGGAAATATGTAACATTAAATGCATATATTAGAAAAGAAGAAAGACACAAAATCAATAACCTCAGATTCTTCCTTAGGAAACTAGATAAAGAAAAAACAATTTAAACCAAAGCAAACTGAAGACAAGAAATAAACCTTACAGCAGAAATCAATGAAATAGGCAACAGGATAACATAGAGAAAAATCATCAAAACCCAAAGCTGGTTATTTGAACAGGTCATTAAAGTTAGTAAACCTGTAGCCAGGCTCACTAAGAACAAAAGGTAAATACACAAACGGCCACTGTCAGAAATAAAGGAAGGGCCGCTATTCCTCATCCCATGGACACTCAAACATAGGGGTCTACTGCCAACGACTCTAAAGCCACCATTGATAAATTGGATGAAACAGACCAGTTCCTTGAAACACACAAATTACCAAAACTTACACAAGGAGAGGTAGATAAACCTCAATTGCCCTTCATCTATTTCCAAAACCAAGAAAAGACCAGGTGCAGATGGTTTCACTGGTAAGCTCTACCATACATTTGGGGAAGAAATAATACCATTTCTTCAAGTCTTTTCCAGATAAGAGAAGCAGAGGCAGCTCTCTTAACTTGTTCTAAGGCTTGCACTACCCTTATAGCAAAACCAGAAAAAGACATTACAAGAAAGGAAAACTATAGACTAATATTTTTTATGAATATAGATTCAAAATCCTCTACAAAAATCGAATCCAACAATGTCTAAGAAGAATTACGCATGACAACCAAGTGGAGTTTATCCCACATATATATGCAAGGCTGGTTTAACATTCAAAAACCAGTTGCTGTAATCTGCCATATAAACATGTAATTCATGAGATAATGAAGAAAAGTCATGATTATGCCAGTCAGCACAGAAAAAGCGAGGAAATCCGGCACTTGTTCATGATACAAACTCTCAGTAAACTTTGAATAGAGGGGAACTTCTCCAATTTGATAAGGAATGTCTATAAAAAGCCTATAACATTCTATTTTTTCTTATACCCATTAACTATCCCCCTACCCTACCCCCAACTACCCTTCCCAGACTCTGGTAACCATCCTTCTTCTCTCTATGTCCCTGAGATCATTGTTTTGAGTTTTACATAACAAAAAGAGTTTAACTGAATTGTTTATAACACCAAGTATAAATGCTCGAGGGGACAGATACCTCATCCTCCATGATGTGACTATTATGCATTGCATACCTGTACATCTTATGTACCTATAAATAGATACACCTACTATGCAACCACAAAAGTTGAAAATAAAAAGTTCTACAGCTAACGATGGTCTGTGTCTTAAAGTTATATATTTTAAAACAAAAGGTAAATGATTGGCACCTGATTTGTGACCTAACATATTTTGCAAACAAATTTTTCTTGCGTTCATACATGAATGGTAACCAGACTGAATAAAAAGCTTTAATGTCATAGTCTTTTCCTCTCAAAAAAATATGCATTTGTATTTGCACTAGATGATTATTGTTTTCTCTCATTTGCTTTTAAGTAATTTCATGGCGCAGCTGAAGTTGGCCAAAGAAAGTACAGTATTTTCACAGCAGTTTTGACCAGCCGAACCTAAGTGGTGGTGTCAGTAACTACATGTCTATTTATGGAAACTGAAAGTCGGCAACATTTTGCAATGAAGTTGGGGAAAGGGTGCTGATAGTGAAGGGTTGACTTTTCTTTCTGAAATTAATGCCTGTCCATTTATCTGCATCCTCACATTAGAATCACAGAATTCTTTGTAAGGCACAGGCTCTTTGAAATGAATAATTCATTTTTATAAAAAATGATATTTGAATAAGCTCCAGACAACTCAGACCACTTGATTTTTTAACTATGGGTTTGATAGACATGTAAATTAGAATTTATAGGGAAAATCAGACTCCATTGTGAAAAGCATTAGAGAAAAAGATCTCTTTCTAGTGCCAGAATCTGTAGATGAGCTTATTTTAAATAGACTTTTATTTTGAGACTTCTCTGTATCTTCCAAACACATAGCAGATTACTGAAAAAGTATTGTAGAATGTAACTATGAATGGTGTGTATGAGCTACTTTCTATTATTCATGTGAGCTGCACATTCAACAAGAAAAATTCAATGGAAATAAAATATTTATGCCATTAAATAATCATCCTACCATATCTTGAAGCTAGCAGTGTAGGCAAGTATGTTTTAAGATATAGGCATAAGCGTCTATCTTTGAACTTATTGAATTAAGTAAAGGAACCATGGAACTTTTGGAAAATAATGGATGAGATGACATGATAACACCATAATACCAAAATAAATTGGGCGTAGACCATTGAACCTGGATATAGTAGACTTGCTGTTGATTCAGTTTTGGGTACCAGAGTTACTTAACATGAGCCTTTTCAGGGCTCTTAGAGGAATATTTTATCCTCCTTGTCTTACCTTTATCTATTTTTTTTCCCAACCAAAAATTGAGCACACAGTATGGCGCAGGCATGAGTCTAGGTCCTAGAAATAAAGTCCCTTCTCTCACATTCTAGTGGGGGAGACAAACGAGTAAATACATAGTAGAAACTTTCTTTTGATTGCTCGTATTGTCTCAGTAAAAACAGGAATCACAGTTATCAACTGGGAGTAAAGATGGCAAAGGATATGAGAAGAGTGGAGTGCATCTGAACTGGTTATTTAAGATAGTGGAATAGTGAGTGGAAAGAGAAAGACAACAGGATTTCTGAGCAGCACAAAGGTCCATTTCAGGGCAGTGGTCATAAATTTTACTGGTTATCTATGAGTATAATTTTGTGTTTTAATCCACTCATATTTAGTCAAAGAGGTGTAGATGCAGAAGTAAGTGAAGAGTTGTGTTTATCCAGTGTTGCAATTTGGTCAGGTGAATAAGAGAAGACTCAGGGACTTCAGCGGCCTGGGAGTTGAGGATGTTTATGAAAGTGTTTGTAAAACTTTGAAGAAATACTTCATTGATTAAAAATTCTGCCAGCAAACAGGAAATAGCATTTTAGCACTCTGCACAGACAAGTGAATCTACACACTGGCAAAATCGAAATGTAATCCCAGAGCGAGGACTTTTTACCTTCTTAGCATGAAAAGGGGCCATGTGATTGGAGCAAGTGTCCAAGTTCTTTGAGCATTTGCCGAAATTGACCAAAATTAATATCAGTCTGCTACTTGTATCGATATTTTTGCCAAGAAACTTAGACATATGGTTGAAAGACTTGAATAAATGGACTCATTCTGAATTTTATTTCTGAATCATATCTGGGACAATAACCATAACATGTGGTGGCAGCCAATGAATTTCAGTGCACCTCTTCCTTGTAATCAATCTATGATTACCAAACTTTTATTATGTTTTGTCTTTAAACTGACTGGTATTGGGTGATGTCAACAATACCTTTG